CACAGCTATTCAAGTTGTGTTGTATTGAGTCTTTTCAGTGTACTGGCTGCTAGGGGTTCTTTGTGGCTGTGGACACTGGACAGGGGCACTGAGTGGAAGGGATTACTCTCTCCTCTGGAATACTAATGACCCTCTTTTGTCACCGATCTGTTTCCTCCACCTTTACTCCACATACCCCTTCACCATCCATTTCCCTCCCTCTTCCTCTTTCACTCCCTTTGTCACCCGATGCTCAATTCTCTCTCAATCCTCCCCTCAAAACCAATTATCCCCCCCCCAAATCTCTGCCCCCTCACAATGTCAAGCACCGCATACTCACACACACGATCACGCACAGTCGCAAACACACACTTTAACCCTCCGTACCGCTCTCTTCTGCCCCGTCTAACTTGCTCTCGCTTTCACTCGCTCGCTCACCCAGTCGTATTTTTCAATGGTGGCTTTTGTCCCTTTCATCTCCTCGAAAACAAAGGATTCTTGTGCGCACAGGACAGAGGGAAGGAGAGGGATGGAGAGCCGGACGGACAGGAAGAGATCCTAACCTTGAGTGTGGAAGAAGTCATTTTACAAGAGAGGGAATCCATCAGTGTTACTGTCAACCAGACTGATACACTTCCCAAATATTGTTTTAGCTCTATTAATATTAACATAAGCAAGACTGGTGACTATAGATACAGTGACATAAGGGTTTAGATATTCTGTATTTTTCCTATCATCAAATAACCCCCCAAAAAGAGACCAAAACCAACAAGCAATTGAACCTTCTCACAAATATAGTCAACCTCACACATAGATGAGTTGTACTCCGTGACATATGTACTGTAGGGCACTGTAGTTTATTTTGAGTCCACTGTCCTGCTGCCAGATATACTCACTACTGCACCACATGTGTATTATCCCACAGCTGAAAATAGTTCCATCAAAGGCACCATCTATCCACGTCTGATTAACGGAGTGCATAGTTGTTTTAGAGGTAACTTTAAAATGAAACTACTTATTTTAATTTGTTTGGAGAGCAGCACTAATTATTATTTTTTGGAGAAACAATGGATCAAATGATGATGTGTAACGTCAGAAGAATCGCTCGTAACAATGTACCCACAGAAAATTAGATAAATAACTCTTGACAGTTTACTTTTAGCGTCTTTGAATGTATTGTTTTGGGTTTTTATGACCTGAAAATCTTGCGTTTTAAGTTACTCTCCCTTTTCTCATCAAATTCATTTCCAATCACAGCAGACAGACAAAGTTAGCGACTAGCTGGTGGACATACTAGAGCTGCCAAAGAGCCAGATATGTCCATTAGGAGTTAGTGGAGACCATGGATTGATACAAAGATGGACGACATGTCCCCACTTCCTCCAACTGCACAAAAATGAAGCCAAAATGTCCCACATAGAGATGCTGCCATCTTGCGCTAGTGATGTCATTTGAATTATACCCAAATTTATCAGAAAAAATGAACACTTAAACATCAGTACAATAAGACCTAACTGAAATGACTGAAACCATCTTTGGGAAAAATGTATTTACGTGTATGTCGAGTTTTTACTTTGGCCCATGTCTCATCTGTTACCAGAGGGGCAGGGTACACTGCTGTGAGCCACTACGGGGTGACTGAGATGTTTTGGCTTCACTTTTGGGAAGCCGTCATGTCGTCCGTCTTATTATGTGATGTCACACATTGGTTTGTGGACTCCTGTTCTGAAGCCTCGAGTTTGGCATTTGGCAGCCGCCATCTTGGATTTTTGTAGCCAGAAGTGACCATGCTGCATCTTACTTAGGGCCCGAGGACATTGTCTGCAGATAGCTTATCACTCAAAGCGATCGCGCCCTTAATTGTACGTAACTGCAAATGTTAATAAAATATAAACAGTTGAGTTATATAAGAGTTATATAAAAGTTCGTACAGTTGTCATGAACGTGGAAATTAGCTTTAGAGACCAAATCTGTTTTTGTACCAGGCTGTAAATATGTTTATTTTTGTTGTGAAGTTGAGCATTTCAACACAGACACTGTGGGGATTGACTCACTTTTGGAGCCAGCCTCAAGTGGCCATTCAAGGAACTGCAACTTTTGACACTTCCACATTGGCTTCATTTATCAGCCTCTGAGGTTGCTGCTTGGTGGAGACCAAAACAGAGGTAAAAGGATATTAAATATTGGACCCACATTCATCACGTGGACAGAAGCATGACCCAAAAGAAATGCTAATGTTGCTCTTTGTCTGCTGGATGTGTAAATAGGCAACGAGTTTGCCATTGCAACTTTATGTTGTGTTTACACCTTATTGTGTACCCAATAGATAAGTTAATACTACATAACAGACTTATGTGTTCATTAGGATCAAATAGACTGAATGCCATAGACATGGTAGGGTTGGTATACATGTACATACATACATTGCTAGTTGCTGAATGTACATGCAATTGCTAGTTGCTGTGTTGTTGTGTGTAAGGTCCTGACTTTGCAAACCAAACATTCCTTCATACAATCAATGGTATTGTATTGCCTTCTAACTGTTCTAAAGGTCTATATGTCCAATACATGAGTGTGTGTTTACTGTATGTGTAGGCAGGAGCTCCACAGGGTTCAGAGTTCAGCTGGAGATGGACACGGCCAATCACATGGGCCTCCTCTTGACCCCGCCTCCCTCCCCTCTCTCCCCCTCCACATCTTAGTATTCAGAGCACAGACATCAACACAGATCTCTATTCATTCACTCAGTGTGAGCTCCAGCGTGGAGAGAGGAGAGAGAAGGGTCAGAAAGGACAGGAAAGGACAGAGCGTATCAGATCGTCATGTTTCTTAGGCTTTTGTTTGTGTTGTTTTGTTTTTGGGTTTGTTGTATTCGCCCCGGAAGGCAGAGGCAGTTTGAGACAAAAGGGCCATTTAGTGAACAGTGAGTGTGAGCGAGGGAGAAGGAAAGAAGTAGAAGGATGTGGAGAAACTGCAGCTCAGACCAGGGTAAAACTGTTGAGTGTATGCAGTGGATGACCCATACAGTGACAATAAGTGTCCATGGCACCCGGGGGTGGTGTGGGGGACTCATTCTGTCAATATACTGTTGATACTTTCAGACCCACAGACACTTAGAATCCACCCCAGCACATTACACCACCATTGTCTGACAGGCATTCACTTGACACTTGTTATATGACAACAAGCACTTAGCTTGAGTAACAAGTGATGCGGGTGTACTTGTATGGGAAATAGGGATGTCAGTGATGGTTACTTTTGCTTTCGATAGCCTGACACCCATTAACCAGTAACTAACTAGCTCATTTTAGAGAGGAAGGAAGAGCAAAATGATGTGAAATACAAGAGGCCTTTCCTTTCAGTCCAGCACTCTCTAGGGCCACACTTTATACTGCTTTCCATTTAAAGGTGGTGAATTTTAATGTTTTGTGATGAAAAGCCCCGTTTCTACCAAACACTTTCAGTATGGTACCTTTGGAACCAAAAGTAGCTTTTCAGACATGGTGCCTAGACCCTAGCATTTCCATCACAAACAGTAGAATGTAGGTGGGGTTGTTGTCACTCACATGCTCTGCGATGCTTTTCTTTTCCTTCGAGTAAGGGTTAGACTAAATGCTGTTCACATAACCTGGTTGAAATTAATACATATAAATGCTTGAAGATCCACTCATTACTACAAGTCATATAAAAACTAAAGTAATGGTCAAAGTTGTCATAGTGAAATTTAAGGTGTGCTGATGGATTCACATCGACTCAACTCATGCATTGAGTAACATTACAAGTTGATGTTCCACCTTAAAAGTCGCCGGCAGTCGGTCCAGCGAATTAAGTTACTTTTTCTCCGATTCCAGCTGCTTTCATTTTATAGTTGCAGTTTACTAATAAAACTCTCCACAGTATGAACAGTGGTTACATGAGCCTCAAAAGCAGCCACAACTCAGCCCTGAGCAGAGTGACCGTCCAACAGACCAATCAACAGACTGCAGTGTTCACAGCTCCACCTTTAAGTACCAGATCTGTGTGCTAGGTACCCCAACAGAGGGGGGACCAAAAAGATAATGGCTGGGGTTGAAGTCAGGGCTCCCTGCAATTAATTGGGAAAACCATTATTTCTATGAACCTTACTTTGTGCACATACATATGTATATATTTCACAAATATTGTATGCAGTAGCATTGTGATTTCCCTCAATTGGAGCTAAGGGGAAAAGCTCGAACCATTTAAAAAACAGCCCCATACTAAACCTTTACAAAGCCAGCTTTTTCTACAGTTCTCTGCAGCTGACATCGTCTCAAAACCTAGATCTGATCCCAAAGTAATGCACATCTTCTTGTCAGATCTGCTGCATAAATGGGGTCTTTATTTAAGGAAAAACAGGCCACAAAGTGAAGGGAAGCGTATGAAAACAGCTTTCAGCTAAATGGAAAAGGGTGGTCCAGCAGAAGACCTCAGCGTCCTTGATTCAAACTGAAAGACTCTTAATCGTTTTCATGTGGAATAACAGTCACTGGTGTCTCCTCATCTCAATTCAGTGGCCGTCTTGTGCAACCAACACGTGAATGGGCCTGCACTATCACGCTTTTAATGTGAAAGAGCAGCTGTGCCTTCATGCTGAAAGGAGGCTTTTATTTTGACAAGGCCAGCTGCCTCCATTGAAAGGAGAAAGGGGGCTTAAATGGACCACCATGGATAGCCACAACGCTGTCCAGCTGAAAAATGTGCTTCTAATCCCCTTCCTCTTCTTCTTCTTCTCCTCATCGTCATCTCCCTTCCTCCCAAATGTTCCACTCTGTCATTTCTCTCATTCATGTGGTCGTCAAATGTTCTCTCTTTTCTCCTTATTCACACACCCTGCACCTTTTCATTTGGTCTCACCTGCTGTTCACTTGATTTTACTGCCCATACAACCTATGCACTATTTCCCGCTGTCTTACCTCGCTTTGTCTTTTAATTACACCCCCCTCTACCCACTTTTCTTCTTTACCTTACCTCCAGTTGTCTCTGTCTCCAACCAACTGTAGCACCAGCCATGACCTCAGCCACTCCCCCCTCCTCTGAAGGCTCCTCCCCTCAGAAAGTATGCCACTCCCAGACACAGACTGACATCACCAAACCCCTGCTGGGCTCCACAGGGGGGACTGGAGGTGCTGGTGCAGGTGGAGGAGCCACGGCAGCTGGAGGGCCCAATGCTCTGCGGAGGAGGCGACGCGTCCTCTCCAAAGATGGCCGAAGCAATGTACGCATCGAGCACATAAGCGGGCGAGGGGCACTGTACCTCCGCGACCTCTGGACGACTTTCCTGGACATGCAATGGCGCTACAAGTTCTTCCTCTTCTCTGCCACTTTTGCTGGGACCTGGTTCGTGTTTGGAGTGCTTTGGTACCTGGTGGCCATGGTGCATGGAGATCTACTGGGTAAGGAGGAGGGGATGGAGGGGGGCGGAGCTTTTTAGTGGAGAATAAGATCAGAAAAGCATAACTTAAGATGTTGTGTAAGGGGCTGTACAGTTGCCAGGTCTTTAACTGCCTGGAAAATGTGAGGTCCGGCACTACTTTTGTGCCTTTTTTTGAGGCAGCTTTCAAGGGCGTGGCAGCAGGTTGCATCTGAAGTTGCTAAGCAACCTTAACTAGCACCGTATCATAGCCTATTTACCTGAAATCATGAGTGCAGAGCTGATCTTCTTCCAGGCGCTGTTTATAAGTGTGTAGGCATATTGTCCATGGAACAGATGTAAAGCTCTGGGTAGCCCTGCACTAGAAAGATCAACTCCTCCATATTTACCACAGACTGATATTTACGGAAGAAGGGAAAGGTATCTGTCAGCTGAACTTGGTTGATCTCGGGGCACAGCCATCACGCCCTGAAAAATAGGCGCTCGGGAAGGCGTGTGCATTGGGGTGGCATCGTTCTGGCGTTGCTCTGGCGTTTGAGCATGCCTGCCATGCGTCTACTTTGAAAACAATGAATTTGAGGAGAGCAAAAAACGCGGTATGTGTATGGCCCCTAATGGTCCCCAGAGAATTATTCCCACTTACCTTAGGGATTACCTGACTTTTCCTCCTGTGCAACAATTCATGGTTTCAAGTAAAAAGTCTTGACAGCTATTGAATACATTCATCCTTTTATTCATTTTCCGTAACCGCTTATCTTTAGGGGTCGTGGGGGGCTGGAGCCTATCCTAGCTAACACTGGCCGAGAGGCGGGGTACACCTTAGACAGGTCACCAGATACCAGTATCGCAGGGCTTAACTATTGAATAGATTTCAATCAAATTCGATGCACATGCTCATGTCCTCCCATGGAGGAATAATACAAACTTTGGTCATCCCCTGACTTATCATTTAGTACCATCATCAAAACAAGAGTCAGTGTTGACCAAACAGTGGAAAACTTACTGAAAACATGAGTTATTGGTATTGATAGGTAACCTTACCAGTCAACACAGAAAAGTCATGTGAAATCTTGCTTGTCCGTTTCATCACTTATGTACTTCTGAAATAAAACAGTCTTTATCCATGTCCTCTGGCCTTCTGTAAAAAAAGACCTAAGAAGTACAAGTACTTTTTTGTGAATGTGTTAACAATAAAGAAAGACACATGGAATACAGTTTTACATGGCAGAAAGAGCATGAGAAAGATCCGACAGAGCACTGAGAGAGGGAACAAAAATGTTCCTTTATAATTAGTTCACTCCCTCAAACCCAAGATCTTCTGCTCTCCCTCCCTTCCGCCAGAGTTCGACCCCCCCTCCAACCATACTCCATGTGTAATGGAGGTGAAGACCCTGACGGGAGCCTTTCTCTTCTCTCTGGAGTCTCAGACCACAATTGGATACGGTTTCCGGTGCATCACCGAGGAGTGTCCTGCTGCCATTGTGCTGCTCATCTTTCAGCTGGTCATCACCATGGTGATGGAGATCTTCATCACCGGCACGTTCCTTGCAAAGGTAGTGAGATACAGTTTTTAGTGTTAGATACTGTTGTCACGATAGGCTATTGGTATTTCTAACTTTGATACAATACCTTGAAAAATATCAATATTTGATACCATTACGATACGACGATACCATGGGGAGGTATAACATGGCTGTAACATGATGATGCTAACTTTTCTTTTCTTGTTAGTAATAGAGTACAGCAGAATGACTGTAGTAAACATTGACAATATGAGAGAATACTGCAGAAAATGAGTATTGAAACCATTTCAAATAATCAGTGTCACTTTACCACAGGATGTCGGTAATATTAATGGCCAATTCGCACGGGATAAGAAATATCAGTAAAACTACCACAAGTGGGAGGGGTTAATCCATTCACACACCGCCGTCCCCTCCTGTCATCATGTGCGTATGACATTGCTTCCTGTGCGTACCACACTCCTTGTATGTATAAAATAATATAGCCTACAACATTGAATTATTATGAAATGATTAGCCTACGGGTTGATTTTATTGTCATTTTTTTATTAGCCACATAGCCCTGCTACATTGCATACTTAACTTACCTAAAGCAATCAGAAGTCCCGTGCCTCGGACAAGTGCTTGCGACCTTCTTTTTGGTTTTGAATCGTGTTCATCGTAGGCCAACAGTACCTGAGGTTTCACACGGACTTGTCCGACTGTGAAGTGCAAAACTGAGTGCTTCTTCAAGAGCCTCCATGCTTAAAAATCCGCGAAAAACCACTTGTAAACAGGATATGACGAAATATCTACACACATATTTACTGTTGGTCCATTTGCACAGGATTAGTATTACCTGAGGTAATTTTCCGGGACCCTTTTACAGAAGGTAAAAGTCGCGGTAATCTTTACTGACATCGTGCGGTAATGATTACTGACATGGCACATTCGGACGGGACTAAAATCTCAGGTAATCATTACTTTACCCCACGTACCTATGTAAAACTAATCCCGTCCTATAGGGCCTATAACTGTGCCAAAGCAAGTGGCTGCCTTGTGCTAACAGTTTTACTTCCATCGATATTCTGTATCATACTTACCAGGCCACCTTGGGCTATAGTAAACATTGTATTGCCCTTCTGTGTTCTGCATTTAACAGCAAATAAGTGTTAAATTTAGTTTAAAACTGTCATCTTTGTCAGTTAAACAGAAACAATATACTTAATAATAGCTTAATGACAATAACGTTTATTTACAAAGCTCTCAAATCAGGACGTAATTTGCAAAAACAACAAAAAGAATAGAAAAAAGAATAACTTATATCATGCTGTTGAACCACCCTTAATCACCACAGGAGAAATTCCTTCACCACGACAGCTTCAATTCATTCAGCTTTGTTTCACTCCATATTATTCCCCTGGTCATCCATGTTCCATGTGCAGTAACTCTATGGCCTCCCACAGTTTGAGAAGCATTGGGCTAGCATGTCTCTCCTTTACCCTGTATCAGTGCAGCTATCAGTATGTTTAGCAATCAGCTTTGAGCTTATCAGTTAGAGATTATTACCATGTTGATTATTACCACTCTAAACTATCAAAGCACAGTTATCTGAACAGTTTCCTCTAAACAGTCTAACAACCTTTCTTTTATCTCTACATCCCTGTGATGTTACTCTTCCATGTATCACATATCTTTCTGTAGGCCAGGTTATCTTGAAGACAGAAAGAGGAAATCAGAAGCCCTGTTTACATGATTACTAGAGCTCATGTGAAGTGTTTACAGCATGTAGAAGTAACAGGAATCATTATATATCCATTTTTACCAACTATGACACGTTTTCATCCTCTTGTAGGTCGCTCGTCCCAAGAAGAGAGGCGAGACAGTGAAGTTCAGTCAGCACGCGGTTGTGTCAAACCATGAGGGTCGACCCTGCCTCATGATCCGAGTGGCCAACATGCGCAAAAGCCTGCTGCTGGGATGCCAGGTACGCAAGTCGCTTTTTTTTTTTTTTGAATTGATATTACCCCAAATAGGCTACCTAGGGATTTTAATGCACCTGAGGTTTGCCTTGTATCTCTGCATCGGCTCTGCACAGCATTTGACTGGATGCAATGCCATAATGGATATGAACCCACTGACCCTGACATACAGCTTTACCTGGAGGCCCATACAAAGAAGAAAAAGAAAAGCTTTCACAACAACCACAAGCTTTTTAAAGTAAAGTGCTTCATGAACAGTAGGAATGTCAGTTTTGATTAATTTTTAATTTTTTTTTTTTTTAGCTAACCAGTTTACTTCTAAAGGTGCGGACACACCAAACCGACATCAAAGAACTGGTGGTGACATCAACCAACTGTTGCGTCGTCTACGTCACCTCACGTAGCCTCACGTCGCCTCACGTAGCCTCATGTCGCCTCACGTAGCCTCATGTCGCCTCACGTCGCCCTGTGTCAGTTGCATTTGAACACACTACACGAACTACACATGACGGCCAAGTGGCACGTACGTTCTGCACCTGCATGAGAGAGAGCGGAGTGACAGAGTGGTACATCCTGACAGCCGAGGGGTTTCCTATCTGTGCAGCCGAGCCACCGCAGCACCTCCACGGACTATTACATTCAGATGGTCCTGGTGTTTCCTCCGCAGGCTCCACTTCACTCAGCTTCACTCAGCTGCCCGATAAACCCGCTGCTTCTTCCCACTTTAACCTGAATAACAAACTAGGGCTCGGTTCTCTGGTTGGATCCAAACAGAAAGCCGGGGCTAGCTGGGAAGCTAGGGTAGGCTAACTGGCTGTGCTTCCCTCCATCATTCTGCTCTAACCGCTCCCAGCTAGCCCCAGCTAACTGGCTGTGCGTCCCTCTGTCATGCTGCGCTAGCCTCTCCCAGCTAGCCCCGGCTCTCCGTTTGGATCCAAAAGGAGAGCCAGGGCTAGCTCAGAGACTAGTGGAAGCTAACTGGCTGTGCTTCCCTCCGGTCATGCTCCCACCTAGCTCCGGTTTGTTATTCAGGTTAAAGTGGGAAGAAACAGCAGATCTGTCCAGCAGCTGAGTGAAGTGAAGCCTGAGGAGGAAACACTGGTTAGCCCCGGTTTCACTACAGGCAGATTCACTCGCTACTGGGGCGAGGGAATAAAACCTAAACAGCCAATCAGAGTGATCTCTTTCACCGACAATTGACACCGACAAACCGCCGATTCAACATGCTCAATCGGCCGAAAAGCCGCTGACACCAAAGGGCCAATGGTGCGGGACACACCGCAAAACTAGGCCAACAGACGCTCATCGATGGCCCGACTTTGGTCGACGGCCAACTGTTGGCTTTGCTGACAGACAGCCCACTCCCCGCTTTAAAGTACCAAAACATATGCCCACTGCCCACCATCCGGTCTCCACAGGTTGGCTAACATTAGCCTTGGCCACTCTAGGCTGGGTGCCAGATAGTGGCGCCACTCATTTTGATTACTTGCCTCCAGGACGGCCTCACTAGCGTTGTTAACTATTTTAGCACTACTAGTCATGCTGAAACTGCTAACTGTGCTAACAGGGCTAACAGTGATAACATAGTATACAATTCTAATAGTAATGATGAATAATAAAATTAACTTATATAACCTAAAGATATGCATAAGCCATCAAAAATATTCTGAGTAGTAACCTATCCACGGTTAATTGTTGACATCCCTGTTTAACAGTATCAATCTGACTGGTATGAAATATATTTAACGACACATTCAGTGACTGATGATGCCATGCTTAAGGACACATCGTCTATGATGAAGACACCGGCCGTTACAGGTATTAAACCTGGGGCCTTTTGGTTACAGGATGCCTTCTGCAACCTCTTGGCTACATTTACTGACTCCATCTTGGCTCCCAGGTGACGGGGAAGTTGCTTCAGACATCCCTGACAAAGGAGGGTGAGACGGTGCGGCTGGACCAGCGCAATGTGCCTTTCCAGGTGGACACGTCTAGCGACAGCCCCTTCCTCATCATTCCTCTGACTTTCTACCACATCATTGACGACAACAGCCCCCTCAGGGCCTGGGCAGCAAAAGGTACGTCAGGGCTCTAATGTCAAGTTGTGTGGCAGGTCTGACACACAATTATCAAGAAGGGTGGGGGGAGAGTTTTATATCAATACTGAGACATAAAGTGGAGATTTTTTTCTCAAAACTATGTGTTAGCTCCAGAGGGAAGCTGCCAGCAGTGGAAGAAGAAGTAGTAGTATTACTAATATGAATATTATTGTTAATGTTTAACTGGATCTTGGAAATTTAAAGTATATTTTAGTAACAGCAATCACTTAATGAGAAGATTGAATTTAAAATCAAAGTTTATTGAGAATAACTGTATGCACATGCAGCATGTACTGTATGTGTATGTAGGTGTATTGGTATTTACGGTCATGTGCTGCGTGCTTGGCTGCCTCTAACTGTCCAGAGTTGGGCTGGTTTGGCACTGGAGGAGAGGGTTTCTCCGGCTGGAATGTGTGTGAGAGAGATCTGCCGAGACACCCCTCATTAGAGCACAATGCAGTACAGTCTGGGGTGCTGACACGAAGCCTGCACAGATCCACTTACAGCAGCACAGACCTCTCAGCACTGGGAACAACAAAGGCATCAGTACGAAGTCTCTGATCGCGGCGTTATTTACACTCACACCAATCGTTCACTGTAGACGGCCTCTGTCATTTCTTTACTTGGCCTCACTTGACACCATTGATTTTCTGATATGATATTATCATGTCGTCTAATTGCTACTCCTTTGTGCTCTGCCCTTTAACTTCTGCTTTCATTTCCACCTGTTTTCTTGTAGCTATTCTTGCCTTCCCTTCAGCAGTTATTTTAACTGTCACCATATTTAAGGGCTTATATTACAGCACACACAATACTGTCCATAATACTACTGTAATCCCTGGTGCAGGTGCCCACTGTAGCAGCAGCCAGTCTTGACATTTCCCCAGTGTTGCTTCATCTGTGTTTTCTTTCATAAATCCAGTGATGCCTAAAATGTACTCTCACTCTCATGCATCTTTTGAATGTAATTTTTACAAAGTCTGTTTGCTTACTTTCCTTTTCCTTTCTTTTATTGTTTTCTTTTTTGGAACCCTTTCTTGCGAAAGACATGACAGTGTACGTTAGTGCTCCACCCACGTGCACACTCACTCACTCGGCTCTAGCAGTATGCAGAGACAATACTCTAGCAGTGGCAGACCAAACCATCTTGTGGCTTTTAGGGGCGAGGAGGGCCTCAGCGTAAGTATAAAGTAAAGTAAAGTAAAAGCAGTAAGTAGCTAAGTAGCTAATGTTAGCTAGATAACTACATTAAACCAACAGCAGGCATATGTGCAACTTCAATGTGCTTGCAGAGGTGAGAAGAAAAGTTTTCTCAGTGTTTTTCAGGGGACACAGCAGCACTTCATCATGTAACTCCTGTCTTCTTTAGAATTTGGGATAAAAAGCATTGCCAGATGTGGCCAGGGATTGCAGGGTGTCCTCCAGAAATGCTGTTAAGCCAAGTGGCAGATATCTTTTGACAGGGCCAGCGACCAGCTGTGGCCCAAGGGACAAGTGCCCTTTTTTGACAGGGAACAAACAGAATATGTTTCAACCTTGATGTTGTCAGCGCTGCCAAAATTATGTTCTTTTTGTGTCATAAGTAACATCTGGTCTCACATGCATGTGTAATATGATGCAGATCTGGTGTGTATTCATAGGAGATAGGGGGACAAATCAAGATTTTGCCTAGGGCCCCCAAAAAGTCCCACGGAGATGAAGAGGAGTCACTAAATCAGTAATTGATTATTTGAGCTGTTCAGAGTGAAACATCGGCTTTGACTCATTAGAGTTAACTCTGACTTTATCATTAACATCTAGCAGTCTAACACATTCATAGCAAGCTAACCTCACTGACTTGGGTTAAATTCCACGTTATCTGTAGGTGTGTGTGGTGTGTGGGTGTCAGTTTCACTTTCCTCGCTGTTCAAGGTGTCAGCATCCAGAAGGTGTTTTTCTTTGATCTTTCGGGTACTGTAGTTGAAAAAAAAAAAAAAAAAACACCTTAAAATACCCTTTTTTGGGAGATGTACTCCTTGGGTGCTTTCCCCCTTCTACACTCAAAAATATACTTGAGTTATTTGAGTGTGTAGATCATTCACGGTTGGATAGTTGGATGGTTGTCTCTAATGGAATTTAAAAAGCATGCAGTTCTTGGACATACATTCATGGTAACACTCATGACTGAGCATACTTGTGATCACTGATTCTTTTAACAGAGCTTCAGAGTTCCCTGCAAAGCTTTCTTTATATCCTCAATGTGTGCTTAATTTACAGCACCTCCAGCATGGACCTGCTCTGATAGGAACATTGAAAACTGCCTTCCTGTGCAACAGTGTGTGAATCTTGCTGGCATTATGTGACCATGAGTCACTGAATCAGAAGGGCAAGACACTGTGGAGATGGTCTATTAAGAGAGGTGCCATTGCTGTCCAAACCACTGAGCTAGAATATCAAAGCATTTCTCTTAAGGATGATTGTGAAACTGTGTGTGAGTGTGCACACTGTGGATAACTCCGTCAATGAGTCATTCAGAGACTAAATATTTCCTATAGAACTGAGAGATCAGGAAACTCTGCTGTGGTTGATGACGAAGAAAGTGCTCGTCGGTGAGATGCAGTTGCTACATGCTAACATCTGTAATGCTGATGTTTAGCAGGTATACTGTTGTGTTCACCTTCTCAGTTTCACATTTTAGCATGCTAATATTTGATTAGCATAGGGCTGCACGGTATATGCGGTAGACGGTAGAAATGATATAAATTTGGCCCACGGTAGAGATTTGCGCTCTACCGTCCTATTGTCGATGACGTCATCGCACCTGCCTCAGTGTGAAAATGGCTGCGAGCACAGAGACAGCGGAGCAAGAGGAGATGGTTCACGTCCGTGATTTAGAGTAGCACGTGCAACATGTGTTGCTGGAGAACTTGTGAGTGAGTGAGTTAATGTCTTACGAACAGCCCCGGACTTCTCAGACTCTTTTAGCGACTCTCGCCGTGCGCACACGGGAGTTGGTTTTCGGCAAGAGAGTTTGTCATAAACCTTTGGTAATGTAAACCTATGTGACGCTAGGGGCTCCACAAAAAACTCCATATGTGAATGTGTGATAGTTGTGGTATCATAGCAGCCTGTCACAGGTTACAGCGTGATGATTAGAGGAGAAATGGCAGAGCATAAAGGATATTTAGGATTTTGCTAAAAGAAGGAAATTACCTTTTGATATAGATCCCAGGGGACATTTTGCACCATAGAGTACTGGGTTTTAATTTTGAGTTTTGAGATCTGCATTCTGCACAATAAATGCTCTAAAAAATACATTATATCTTTGCTTTTGTTGTTGTTTTTTCAGGGGGAAACACGGTGGAACAAGAGTGAAAGTTAAGGCAGCGAAGTCCAAGTAGGGTGGGCGGGAGAGATGATGGATGGGTCCAACAAACTTTCACCCGGGAGAGCGGTGTTTGCATCCCATGAGATTATAAAGCCAAACCCTGTTCTTTTTTCCTAACCTTAACCACTTGCATTATTGGTTGAAGGAAAGAAAACGTCAATTCACGGTGTTGTACCAACGTAGTGCGTATATTTGAAAAAAGAGTGTATGTAAACTGTAGTGTATTTTGAAAGAAGAGAATGCATGTAATAGGCAGGACTTGACACGGTGTCCCAGAACGTCAACAACCAACGCACCCAGGGTACCTTGCACATCATATCTGGACGTGGAAAGTCCATGACCAAACATAGTTATTACAATTTATCCTGACTGGGAACATGAATATCTGTTAAATTTTATGGCCACCCATGCAGCAGTAGCATCCCGAGCCATGCTGCTAAGATCGCTCCATAAATGCAGACGGAGCCCTTTGCGCCGCCCACAAAAGGCCAGCAAAGAGAATCCCTCAACCAAGTTTGTCGCAGTGAGCACAAGCGGTTGCGAAACCTGGTGTTTTTGCTCTGGTTGGAGCGGGACTGGGTCTGGGTTAGGGTAAGGACTGTTTAGACAGATGACAGAGTCTGCATTCTGAGTGAGGCCTGTTGACGCAGGTGTGTGCTTGTTTGAGTGCATATGACTTCCAGTGTGTCCTTTGTGTTATTGAAGTTGTGTGTCAATGAATGACAAGTCTGCATGTGTTCTTAAAACGTATTAAACATTTCTGATTGGAATGTTGCCATCACGCTGCAGCCTTCTGTGTGTGTGTGTGTGTGTTCAAATTTCAGGAATGAGTTCTGACAGTGTTTGTGTATCTGTGTGTGTGTGTGTGTGAGAGAGAGAGATCCGGTCAAGTGTTTTTGGAATCGGTCAGTGAGTGGGGAGGTTTTATGTTTTGGAAATTTCAGGATGTGTGTGTGTGTGTGTGTGTGTGTGTGTGTGTGTGTGTGCGTGCATGCTTGTGTGTGTCTTTCCTTAGCCACATACATGACTGCCGTTTACTGAATGAATGAATCTGTGACCCAGGTCTGCTTGCTTTTAAAAAATGAGCTGCCATTTTACCTCCTCAAATACAATGCAGGCTGAATATGATAATATAAACAACTACTGCTTAAAGGTTCAGTGTGTAGGGTTTAAGGGGGATATAGTGACAGAAATATAATATAATACATATGTTTTCTTGAGTGTATGATCACCTGAAAATAAAAAATTGTTCTGTTTCTGGTCCTAAAATGAGCTGTTTATATCTACATAAGGAGCAGGTCCTTGCCTACGGTGGTCGCTATGTTACACCACCATGTTTCTACAGCAGCCCAGGATTTATAAGATATTATATAAGATAATTAAGTATCACATATATAAAAACAAGAAGGACATGATAAAAACAATCAAAAACACTAAAGGAATTCTTACCGGAAGAAGTTTCAGCTGGTTGCAATCTGCAATCCTCACTGCTAGATGCCACTAAACCCCCCTAAGGGCCCATTTATGCTCAACGTTAAATACGGATCCGGATACAGACGGAGCCTTCTGTCTGTGCTCTGCGTTCATTTCGTCCCTATTTCTGCACATTTCCATAAAGCTTACGGATACGGGCCAAACGGAGCAGTACCACCGGGAACCGTGGGGGCAGTTTTGCTGTCACTACTCGATACGTAGCTCTAGTGAGACACGAAGAAGAAATAACAATTCAGTTTCTCTCATCGGCAGTACTAGAGAGAAGAATTCTCCGTCCTCCAGTCGTGATGTATTTAACGGCCTCACCGACCACCGCCTCCTACAACGCTGCCTCTGTTTTTGTCTTTTATGCAAGAGGTACATTATCAATATCTCCTCCACAGTCGCCATGTTTGTTTTTGAGTTTGTTGTTGTCATAAACTTTTGATGCTGGGCTGCCTCCTGGTGGATATATTGGTTAACATCCATGCCAACGTAAAGGGCGCATGGAAGTATGTGGGCAGTGACGGTAACATTGTTTGAAACGGACGTATACATTTTCATACGTAAAGGGAGCATAAATGAGCCCTCAATCTGGAGTGTGCTACATTACAGAGAAATACAAAACCATACTAATGAACCTTCATTAATATAGGCCTATATTTTATCTACAAGTCACACACTGAGCGAGCCGCCTGTTAATGACGCTGTGGGCTAATGGGCATGTAGCTACTTCCATGTTTCAGATGATAGGTCATGTTTGTAGTCGACCAATGAAGATGAGTTTACATATCACCTTGGGTTCGTCCTTCACCTTCTCAAAATGATCCCACACTTTGGATTTCCTGCCCGACATGTTATTAACTAGCCTGTTGAATAACCGCAGGTACCAGCCCTGGAAATTAGAGGTCGTACACATGCTGCGTCTTTAACCACCTGGAAAATGTGAAGTAGGGCGCTGGGTGCTACTCTTGTGGCTTGTACATGAATCATCACTTTCCTTTTTTCTGTTTCTTTTCCTCACACAGTAACATCTGTAAATCTTAGTTTGTTTTTGTATTTGTTACTATGTCCATATTGTCAACATGTCTTTGCACTAATTAGAGAACAAAGGGATTAAAAAAAAGTAAGCTCAAAATTCTGTATGTTGTGTTTTTAGCTTGATATGCTGCCCCCAAGTGGCCAAAGGTACAGCTTTGAATTCCTTTTGAGTGACGTCTTAGTGTTCACTACTGTGATAATCATTTTCAAGCAGGTTTTCCTTTTCTTTGATTTGTTTTTTAATATTTATTATATTAAAACTGTAATGGGATGAACTGAAATGCCTGATTGAAAGGAGGAAACTGATATGAAAACACATGGCTTGCTTTGTAAATGGTAGTTTGTTAGTTTGTTGTTTAACCTCAGGCCTGCTCCATCCTCCAGGTGGTGGCTGGACAGACCCGGAGCTGGCTGACTTTGAGCTGCTGGTGATCATGAGCGCCACAGTTGAGCCAACCTCTGCCACCTGTCAGGTTCGAACATCCTACCTTCCGGACGAGATCCTCTGGGGCTACGAGTTCCCCCCTGTTGTCTCCCTGTCTCCCTCAGGAAAATATGTGGCCGATTTCGCCTTCTTTGACAAAGTGGCCAAAACCAAAACCCCACCCCTCTTCAAGCAGGCCCTGCCACCAAGCCCGCCATCACGGGCGTCTCGTTACCACGGTGGCAAGGAGGCTGGGACGGACCCAGAGAAGATGCGACTGGAGGAGAACTACAGGGTGGAAGAGAAGGGGCGAGAAAGGGGGCGCATCAGAGATAGCAGCCCGCTGAGTGTGCGTATTAGTAATGTGTGAGAGAAAAGAGAGAAACAGGAAGTGGTTACAGAAAGAAGATGTGAAACAGAGGTAAGGTGAAGACAGGAAGGAAAAACAAACAAGCTGCTCATAGTGTCAGATGAAAACATCTCACCCACTCGTACACAAAACACCCCGCCTACGCATATGAGAGGAACACCTGGGTGCCCTTTCACCTTGCCCACGAACCGCACACAGACACACTGCCGGTGTGTCACTGTCGGCAATACACTGAGGAAATCTGTGAGGAGATCTGTGTCTACAAACCCAACATGTACAAATGTACAGCACAACATCAAGTCATCCATAGAGACATTTTCTACACTTCTGTTTTGGAAAGGACTTGTTTTAATGCAACTGGAGGATGCTCAAACACTGCAAAATAATCTTCATCTTATCAGGTCATTTCTGTCTGTGTTTTATTCCCAGGGGTGTCGGAATAACTTAATCTGATTCCAGTAGAAATCAACTTGTTTCAAGAATTTTCTAGAAATTAGTAGGATTTTTTGAACCAAGAAGGAATAAGAAAAGTGGCCTTGATTTCAGAAAAATAAAAAAAAGTTGATTTCTATTTCTGTTTTAAGAAAATAAGAACTCAGCTACAGAAAAATGTACTTGATAGGAGGATTTTTGCAGTGTGGTTGAACATCTGACTGAATCACTGTACTGTTTTTTCCCCATTTTTTAAAATGAACAAAATACCTGCAAAAGCAGCTTGTTCTCATTCCCAGGTCATCAAAATATTAATGCTTTGTCACACCCATCGGTCATGAGTGTATTACTGAATGAGCCTAGGCCAAGGGACCCCTAAGCTAGAGTCTCTGACAAAAAATTAGCAACAGCAACTTCATATAAAGGGCTTCTTCATCATGTCCATAACAGAGCCTCAAAAAAGAAAACGAAAGAAATAGCCTAAACATTCACCTCTAAAATGTCACAAGAAAGAAACAACAGCATGCTGTACCTGCCCAAGAGAGGGTGAGGGAGCCTTTTACACCAGGTCCAGGGGCCCATTGTGTCATAATCCGACCATGCCCTCGGTGTCTGTTAAATGCCAAAGGCGCCCTTTAGCGTCTTTATGAGATGCAGCGGGATTCCATCTAATTCTCATGTAAACCCATCTGCTGCAGTATTTGATTGGTCAAACAAACACAGGACTTTGACCCAGGAGACCAGTTTGTGTCCTGTATGAAACCAAAAGTCAACAATGTTTAAAGTAACATTACATCATTTTTGATTGTCACGCACATGTGTTTACATCAAGACATGTTACGTACTTATTTTAACCCTAAACATAATTTTATTTCTCAACATATCCTCAAACAACGGTTTGTATGATTTCCTACGAATAAGCTCCCCAATAATGATGTTACGTGCTTAACGTAAAGTTACTGAACTAACGTAAAGTTATGAATGTTTAGGCTAGGCAAATAAAGTTACTCTGCTTGAGTTTAGGAGAAGAAACTTGGTGTTGATGTACCTTAAAATGACTCAAAGTTCACACTGGTCTCCTGGGGAAAGTCCCAGGTGAAGTTCTGTGTTTGGTGACACATCCACCGCCCAAACCTGTCTCCTTACTGGCTCGCTCAGGACCGCTTTCTTCTTTACTCCCATCAGCGCATTGGTTGCTGATCACAGCCATCCAAAATATGTTGGTTTAACAGGTATTACTGGCCAATGATTATGTGAGATACATACAAATTTAGGTGCATAAATGTACACAGTGCACAAGAAAAGCCGGTGTTTATAAACAAAAGTTTCAAAACATTAACCATGTGTTTCAGCTGGGCGTCACCGAGAGATGCTAAAGGGTGCCCTGTGCGTCACTATCAGATGCCAAGAGGCATGACAAAGCGTTGGTATTTGACAGCCGGGGAATGGGAACAGGTTAGCAAAAGGTGGCGAAAATACTGGAACCATATTATTTTTTTAACGAAGGATTTTAAAGGAATGTATCATATTTTATGTACACAATAGTTTCTAACATCGTTACTTGTTGCACCTGAAATATTGTGCTCTGTCATATGAATGTCTTTTCATGTTTATTGGGGTAAATCTGTTTAGTGATATTACTAAAAGCACTTTAACTAGAAAGAAAAGTGGCATTTCACACAAGGGAAATAACTGAACTAACTCTGAAACCTAATGCACTGTAATAAATGATTAAAATTTGGGGTCATGTTTGGGGTTTGTGAGCGTGTGATATTTGCTTGAAAATGGGTAATTCTGTGAGTGTTCATACGAACCCTTTGGTGAGCTATCCTAAATTTTATGTGTGTTAATGTACCTCTGTACAGTGTATAAAATATTTTTTCTTACATTTTTCACATCTGTATGTCCTGACATTTGATACACAACTCCACATTTTCCATATATCACATTGTCAATGCAAAAATGTAAGAGTGGGCCCATCGTTTTACTGCTGTCATTCTTTCCATCCACTGGCTACGAAGGAGCCCGTGGATTCGGCCAGTATGTGCTAATCATCTGCCTTTTTGGATTTGAAAAGAATATATATCTAGATAAAAATGTACCCCTTTTTAAAATATTTACATGAAAATGGTGACAGATGAATTAAAAAATCAAATTAAGGTACTCTTATTTAAATTTCTTGGCAACAAAAATGAATTTGAATTTTTACATAAAAAAATGTTTTCACTAATTTTCATTACTAGAAATTTAATCAATTCTTAAAATTGTTTTGTTTGAATGGCCAAGCATTTTATGGAAAAAAAAAATCAGTACTATATTATGATAGATACGTTGTGATCTGTGGAAATTTGTGCTCTTGCCAGATTAAATGCCACTATTCAGATGAAATCCTCTGCTGCTTCAGACCAAGCCCAATGATAACAATATTTTTAAAATGTGAATATATTTCAGTATCCATGTGTGGTGAGGGGTTGTGCTTGTTTATACTGTAAAGCCTACTGTATACTGTATATGGATCACTCACATTGATCTAACTTTTTCAGTAAGCACTTTTAAGTGGCTCTTTTAATAAATGTATTATTTACAACATGTCTACGTGTGTGCATGAAACAAAATGATTCCTGCTTGATTTGCCTTCGTGGGTGAAAATAGTACATTATGAAAGATAAAGCATTTTATCTTCTGAAGCTTTTAATCGCATTCATATTAAAATTAAGACACAGATATTGAGACCCTCAACCTCAACAACGTTAACTGAGGCTGACAAACATCCTGCCTACTAAGACACTCAGTTGAACAAACCTGCAGCTCTGGCATCCTCTGACCAATCAACACACTGATAGCGGCACCATAACGTGTTCAACGGACATTATTTCAGTAGAGTGGTAAGAAAAGTATTTTACAACATACCATACTCGTGAACATCAGTGTAAGATTTTCAAAATGAGCTTGTTTTATCATCAAACTACACAAATTCCATTAATAATACTGAACTGGACATTTTTTAGCACTTAAGCTAATGCTAATTTTCATGCTAATTTTTGCGAGATTAATTTGTATGGTGATATACATTTAAGAACTGTTGGTTTTATCATAAGTAGGCCCACTTCCATGCCGGAATATTACGCGTCAAAAAAAAGCATTGAAATTATCTTCAGAACATCAATTTTTCTGAGCTTTCACACTGCAAATAAAAGCATCAACCAGTCAAGTCGTGCAGAATGTCACATCACAACACCGCGACAATGGTGGACCTGTTGCAACTGTTGCATTGCTGCTGGTATGAATAACATTAGAGTATTTTGTCTTTTTGTGTTGCTTTTTACGTGCAATTAATTAGCACATAAGTCAATTTCTTTGAACTGCTGTTTGTGTCATGTAGGTCACTGTCACTTAGAGCACGAATATTAGGCCTTGTGGCAAAAAAACGCCGGAACAATTTTGATTTTTCTGAGCTTTCGCACTGGAATTAAAGGCATCAACCGGTCATGCAGTTGAAGCCGGCTGTACAATAATTTACCTCCCAGATGATGCTTTGGGTCAATAGAATCCTAGTTGTTGGTCCTCTGCCTCCTGATGCGGTGCTAGCATCCTCGGAGGGACCTCAAACTGCCCCACCGTCAAAAAAAAAAAAAAAAATGGGTCCAGAGCTTTGGCCCCTGTATGAGGAAGTGGAACCCACCTCCTTTTTCTAAATAGTTTTGATGAAAATTGGTGCTGGGTATCAGTTTCCTCCTCAGGCTTTCTGAAGTATGGTTAAAACCGAAAAGAAGCAAGTCCCACTGTCCCCCACAAAGGACATGTGTTAAAATGTGTATTTTGAGAGGCTTGGAGTGAACATAGACTTTTGAAATCCTTATACAATATAGTTAAAAATCATAAATAAATAAATAAATCAGAATGAAGGACTGAAACAATATATCTTAAACCAAACGTGCAGTTCCCCTTTTTTGAAAAGACAAAAGATATGTTTTGTTGGGTACACCGCCATGTGTGTTACATCTCTGGAGAGCCCAGGATGTCCTTTCCACAGCATGTCAGGAGACAAATAGACTGCATGCGTAGTGTTTATGATGAAGGCCTCAGTGTCATGTCCACACAAATGGACAAATATGAGGACAAATGAGGATATAACTGAAAAATAATTAACAATTATAATAAAATAACATCTATTAATATTAATACTAATGAAACAAATACTTCAAAACATGACTCAAATAATTTTTCGGTTCTAAATATTATCAGTTAAATAAATAAGGTTAATTAAAATAAAAACCACGTAATACACCTTTATTTTCACCTCCTTTCATTCCATTGGTCATTCCAGCGGGCAGTGAGTGATCGTTGTTCTGATTGGCGGCAGGTGAGGGAGTCAAACATGGCGGGCGGGCTGACGCGCCATTAAAGAACAAAGGAGCAAAGGAGAAAGAAGGCTGACGTCTTACATTGAAAAAAGAAGCAACCGGTGACGATTAAAAGACCAACTAACAAGGTCGGTTGATGAAGCTGGACGTTAATACTTAGGTGTGTGTCTGCACAAGACCGAACTGTTAAAAGGTTTAGCCGTTAGCCGCTAAGCTAGCGGGAGTAACAATGCTAACTGCTAAGCTAGCTTGAACGTCGGCTGCGAATTAGTAGCATCAGCTAGCAGTAATTTCAGTTAGCTTGTGTTACTAGAAAAAAAATGAACGAGTGGAATTTGTGTTCAAGGTCAGACCGACCCCACGGTGACCGGAAAAGCAGTGTGGGTCCCCTGAGGAAGACATGGACGGTTCAGGTGTTAATTGTGCTAATTACTTAAGGTTAGCGCCAGTGACCGGAAATGCACCTGGTGCCTCTGAGGATGATTTTAGCTTCAGCTGCCAACCAGTGCTCCTCTGCCTCTTCAGGATGGAAACATACCTGTAAGTTAAACGTCCTTTACCTGTATCTTGGCCTGTTTCACTGAAGAGCTTTACATTATTTTTACTGTTTATTTATTGTTTTATTTTGTGTGTTAGTGTGAGGGGAAGTGGGTGCCCATTTGTTTAGCTGATGTAGTTATACATGTACGCCAGTGTTTAATCCTATTTTGTTAAAAGTTGTGGGAATTTTAGGTAAGAAAGAGGACAATTATCTAAACATAGTGCATGATACTTTGAGAATTTTGTCCTAGTTGTAAGGTTTGTTTTATAGAGACAAATAGTTTGTGTCTAATCTGCATTTGTGGTGTGTATTGGAAGTTATTTTATTGTGACAGTTGGAGAATTTTGTTGGGTTGTACTGTAATTTTTTTTAAAGGAAATAGCACTAATTCTACTTACACTAAGTAATCCTGGTGGGAGTTACTATTTCTCCTCTGTCAGATGTTTATTCCACTTCATGGTCATTTTTGAGGATATGGTTTCTAATGGTAATTTATTATGCTACAGTCTGTTTTGACAAGTGGCTCACTGATTACATTGTCAACTCTGCTGTCGTGAAAATGTGCAGGAAGTAACAGATTGCAACATAGGAGTGAGACTGCAGACCTGTCTATTCATATCCAGATATTTTTGTAAATGGAAATTTTTCGCCTGAACTTAAAATAAAAATCCATCCACACAACCTAATTTTACCAAATACATCCGTCTACACTAGAACGCTTTCACAACTACAAATGCTTATGTGTGCATTGTTCCCACTGACAGTGTTGCTGCTGCGGTGCTGCTTCAGAGATGCCTGCTGCTGTAACTACTGTGTTTCCTTAACTGAAAGCCGGCACTCCGCATACTTATGTAGCGGTATAAGCCTCTGCATAATCAACGACATAGTCCTGCAAATATTTAACAATAAAAAGCCTTGTGTTAACAAAAGAGGGGACTCTGTCCATAGATATATTGTCAGGAGATTTTAGTTTGAAACAGAAACAGGAAGCACAGAGTCAAAAATAAAGACTTACGAATTTTTTCATGTTTGTGACAGATATGTTCCTGAAACTGTAGCAAAAGATCGTACGGTGGCAACATGATAATCAAAAGGCCATTTTAACTGCCAGTTTGTTGCTGGCGTCTTGTGGAAAAAATTGGTGAGCCACGAGAATCCTTTTCTCTAGATGTTCAGCGGCGTTGGCTGTATATCTGTACAGGCTAATGTTACCTATTTCAAAACACCTACTGCAGATCTCGTCATCGCTGATTTCCGTTCAATTTAAGGACGAAGAAGCTCACTTACAAATATGAGTGACGCTCTGGACATGCTAAAGTTTTTCTTTCACTCCTTATCAATAACAATCCCACTCAAGAGAGTGTTTGACCAAGGCTGTCGGTTATCGTGGACTTTAAACCCAGGATGCTGAGGTGAAGCAAAACACTGGGGGCAGCACATGTCTCTGTTTGTCCATGAAGTGGTGATCGTAAGTGTATAGTAGGCATTAAGGTCCTGACACACCAAGCCGACGGTCGGCCGTTGACCAAAGTCGGGCCATCGGTGAGCGTCTTTCAGCCTAGTTTTTGCGGTGTGTCCCGCACCGGCAGCCCTTCAATGTCGGCGACTTTTCGGCCGATTGAGCATGTTGAATTGGTGGCGGAGCTGGTTGGTGA